GGGCAACAGCAACAGCAGCAGCAAGAGCAAGATCCCAAAGAATGAGTCCCTCTTTAGCATCCCTGCATGGAAGCATGTGCTTGGGAGCGGACACCACCGCCCCAGCTGCATTCCTGTTTGCGCTTGCCTTCTCAGGAATAAAGACGCGGCTTTTCCTGCATACTCAGCGTGTGGTTCTTGAGTGGGAGATCAACACCCCTGCCTGGCGTGGGCTCTGTGGGAAACCAAGCCTTTGCTTGTCCAAGAGATTTGGGGGGACCTTCTCATCCCACCCCACTTGTGCCCGCCGAAGCGACATGCTCTGGGCCCCATCAGCCAGAGCGTTCCAGCTTCCTTCTGCCATTGCGCCTGAACAGGGGCCTCCAACCTTGGCAACTTTAAGACTTGTGGAGACTGGCTGAGGAACTCTGGGAGTTGAAGTCCACACGCCTTAAAGTTGCCAAGGTTGGAGAGCCGCTGCTCTGGAACATCTTGCACCCACCCCCACAAGTAAGGTCATCTCCAACCATCCTGACATTTCATAAGAGCCTAAAGATCTGGCTCTCCCAATTGACCTGGGGCTCCAATGGACGGGATGGAGCCCCCACAACTTCTGGTGGCAAGCTGTTCCTCTGGTTAATTGTTCTCACTGTCAGGGAGTTTCTCCCGAGTTCCAGGTTGCTTCTCTCCTTGATCAGTTTCCAAGCCTTGTTTCTTGTCCTGCCTCAGGTGGAGAATAGGAGGACCCCACCCCCTCTTCCTTATGAGAGCCCCTCAAATATTGGACCACTGCTATCATGTATGCCTCTTCTGAATCAATCATTTCATCAGAATAGAGCTGGAAGAAGGGACCTTAGAGGTCTTCTAGTCCAGCCCTTTGCCCAAGGCAGGAAACCCTACACCATTTCAGACAAGGGGCTGTCCAATCTCTTCTTTAAAAGCCTCCAGTGTTGGAGCACCCACGACTTCGGAAGGAAAGTCGTTCCACTGATTGTTCTCACTGTCAGAAACCTTTCTCCTTAATCCCAGGTTGGTTGTCCATCCGTTACTTCTTGTCCTGCCTTCAGGTGCATTAGGAGAGAATTCCAGCCACGCATCCCATGCAGGCCCCATTTAGACTGAACGTTGACCTCTTTCTGCCACTTGCCAACGGTCATGGTGCACGCTGGAGGCCAAGGAGGCCACTCGCCCCTTCAGCCTTAGCCCCTCGCCCCTTAGCGATAGGCAGGGGGCCAGGAGATGGCGCAGCAGCAGCAGGTCCCACTTCCCACCCAGATCCAGTTTGGGCCAAGAAGACAATGAACCTGAGGCAGACTTTCTCTCGCCTGGCACAGATCCACCAGGTGCATGGAGTGCAACAAGGCGGGGCGGATTCCTCATCAGGTTGTAACACAAATGGTACCATTTTGCATACCTACCTCTGACATTAGGAAAGTGACATGGAAGCCAAGATTTGCGTTGCGATCTTGGAATGCAAATTTATGATGATTCACAGCAGATGTTTTTCCACTTTGGCAGCTTTAAGATGCTGGCTGAGGAATTGTGGGAATTGAAGTCCATTCTTTTTAAAACTGCTAAGCTGGGGAAAGTCTGGGTTTAAGACGAAGGTTGTGGAAAGGGACACCAATGACTGATACCCCCCCCAGAGGAAGAGCGAAGCTGGACTGGCATCTAACACGCCTATTATAGGACCCTCAGACAAATACAAGGGAGCGAAAATATTTCTTTTTCAAATTGTTGTCACCTTTTTGGTATTTTGTGAGGTACATTCCCATCTAAAGTCTCAAAAATCCCAAGGGGAAGGAAATATTTCTCAATCACTCATAACATCTCCCATTGGCCTTGGAAAATACCATGGAGCATTTATGTCTGTTTCTCCCAGTCTGGTGTTTCCCAACACCCATGATTCCCAGCCAGCACAAGGTTGTGGCTGAGAATGTTGTGCCTCATGGTGCTGAGACCCTGCAGAGACCAAGTGAGGTTCCACCTTATATGGAAAGAAGAAGAAGAAGAAGAAGGGCGTCTTTCACCTCTTGCTTGGGGTTGGTTGAAGCTGCTTGGTGGCCTTCTCGTTGTGTCTTCAGATAGGACAAGAAGCCCCCAGATCTCCCCTTCCAGGGAGTCCTTGTCTACTTTCTGCCTGCTCTTCCTCTTTTTGAGGTCCATGCACCTTCAGGAAGCAAAAGAGAGGTTCACCTCCTGCCCCTCCTCAAAGGAGAAGTTCCCACCCCTTCACTTTTGAACTTGGAGAAGATAGATGTTCCTCCACCACCACCACTTCCTTCCTAGTATCCTCTGGAAAGGGGACTTGGTCCATCCCCTACAGCTCAGGGCTCTTCACCCAGGTTGGTCTGTGCTGGATATTGCCAGTCCAGGGGATTCAGCCCAATCCTAACCTCACACCAACCTTCTAGTCTGACCATTGCAATATGCACACTGGGTGGAGTTCAATCATTTATTTGTTTGTTTGCTTGTTTGTAAAACTTGTACAAGATAACAAGTATAGGTTTGAACATAAACCTGAACAAAGGAAGTGAATACAAATGGGACAGTAAGACAAGAGACGGTGGTGTGCTTATTTAAGCCCCCTTTACAGACTTTTGAGGAATGGGGTGAGGTCCATGGTAGACAGTTTGAGGTTGAAGCTGTGAGGGGTTGAGGCTGTAACAACAGAGTCAGGTACAGCATTCCAGGTGTTGACCACTCTGTTGCTGAAGTCGTATTTTCTGCAATCGAGTTTGAAGCGGTTTACCTTGAGTTTGTATTGATTGTTTGCCCGTGTGTTATTGTGGTTGAAGCTGAAGAAGTCGTTGACAGGCAAGAAGCTGTGGCAGACAATTTTGTGTACTATGCTTAGATTGGAAGGCAGGCAGCGCAGTTCCAGATTATCCAGGCCCAAAATTTTGATCCTGGAGGCGTAGGGAATTCTATTGTGAGTAGAGGAGTGGATAATTTTTCTCGAGAAATACCTCTGAACCCGCTCAATTGTGTCAATGTCCGATATACAGTGCAGGTTCCAGGCGGATGAGCTGTATTCAAGAATTGGTCTGGCAAAGGTTTTGTATGCCCTAGTTAACAATTCAATGTTATTGGAGAAGAAGCTTCACAAAATAAGGTTAACAACTTTTAATGCCTTTTTGGCTATACTGTTACAGTGAGCTCTGGGGCTTAGATCGTTTGAGATAAGTACTCCTAAGTCCTTGACAAAGTGAGGATCATCTACAAGATCGCTTCCACCCAATTTGTATTTGGTGTTCTGATTTTTATTGCCAATGTGTAGGACAGAGCATTTATTAGTTGAGATTTGGAGTTGCCAATTGCGCGACCATTCTGACACATAGTCAAGGTCGCTTTGTAAGGCAGCAGCATTGTCGGTGGTGTTAAATAGTTTTGCATCATTGGCAAAGAGGACGCAGCTGCTTTTAATGTTGTCACATAGGTCATTGATGTAAAGCAGAAAGAGTGTGGGTCCGAAGACACTGCCTTGGGGGAGACTGCTATTAACTGGTGCTGGATTTGATAGGGCCTTCCCTATTTTTACCATTTGTTGCCTGTTTGACAGGAACATGGCTATCCACTTGTGCAGGGACCCGGAGATGCCATAAGAACTAAGTTTCAGCAGTAGTTTGTCGTGCACCACTGAATCAAAGGCTTTGCAGAAGTCAATGTAAATTTTGTCTATTGCTTTACCCTGGTCAATATGTATGGTCCAAATGTTTCTGCAATGTAGGAGATGCAGATTACAGGACAACATTTTCCTGAAACCAAACTGCTTGTTAGAAAGCAAGTTGTTTGTCTCTAAGTGGAGGGTGATGGACGGGTTTATAATTAATTCCATGACTTTACAGGTGATGCAACACAGTGAAATTGGTCTGTAATTTTCTAGTAGGCTGGGGTCTCCCTTTTTAAAGATAGGTATGACCGTGGCTAATGACCATAAGTTGGGCAGGGAGTTGGTTCTGAAAGATACCTCATAGATTGTGCATAGAGGTTCACCTAGGGCAATGGCAAGCTTTTTCAAGAAGTAGGCACATAATCCATCAGAGCCAATAGGTAGAGATGGCTTTAGGTTGCGTAGTGCTGTTTTCAAAATCAATATGTAGTAAGTTGTTACAATTTGCTGTGGTGCAACTAGGAAATGGGGGGAAGCAGCCATTGCTGTCAACAAAGACTGAACTGAAGAATGTATTAAAGAGGTTGGCCTTTAGAGTTTCATTGTTCCCGTCTTCCCCGTTAGGCCCTTTTAGGGATGGGATAGATTTCGAGTCTTTAAGTTTGGCATTAACGAAATTAAAAAAGGCTTGGGAAGAGTTCAAGTTTAACAGCCCTCCCTCCTGTTTGCAATGGTGATTGGTACATTTGGCCTTTATCTGGTGGCATAAGGCTTTGTAGCAGTTTTTTAAGTTAGCTACATATCATTATGCAAGGTTGTTGAATTCGCTTTTGAACTTCGAGAACATGGGGGTTCTTCCGTGATGTGGTGGAATCACCAGAGGAAGGAAGGGGGGGCAGTTAAAAGGGGTGCAGTTAAGAGCCATGGCAGGATGGGGTCGCTCCGTGGGAGGAAATATCATAGACCAAACTAGTAAAGCTTTATCTACCAGATCTTGAAGGAATGCAGCCACCAGAGAGAGATTCTCGTAAAATAGGTGACCAACAATAAAGAAACTGCCCGGGGCTCTTGAACCAGGCCAATCTCTTTCAGAGGCAGCCAGTTCAGGGGGCTCACCCCAATCTCAATCTCAATCTGTCTACCATGGACCCCACCCCATTCCTAAGAGGTCCTTAAAGGGGACGTGCATAACCGCACCAGCGTGCCTACCATCCCTGTTCTACTGTCCCCATTCATCTGTATTTACGTCCTTTGTTCTTGTTTATGCTCGTACCTATGCTTGTTATCTTGTACACGTTCGACAAACAAACAAATAAATACAATAAAATAAATAAATCTCTTGTCCTTCTAACCTGTTGCAAGATGCACCCTGGGTGGAGTTAGACGTCCCTCCTCTGGGGGAAGTTTTCCTTGTGGAAATTGCCTCTGGCTCTGGCACGGCTTTCTCAGCTTTCCTGCCTCCAGGAAGCCTTGCGTTGGGAAAATCCCACAACCTGAGGTTAAACCGCCCTCATCCCTCGGCGACTTTCATTCTCTCCTTCCTCTGCCTCAGCCGAGACACCTGCTCCTTCCTGAGAGACCATGTGGGCCAGGGTCCTTCTCCTGGGGATGCTCCTCTCCTTCCCTGCTGACCTCGATGCTGCTGGAGGTGATGGGGGTCAAGAGAGCCAGATGCCCCTGAACAGTGAGTACCCCCCCCCCAGCAAAGCCCTGCTGGAGAATGGAGCTGAGAAGCCGATCTGGCTGGGCTGGGGCTCCTTTCTCCTCTGGGGTGGGTTTTGGGCAAATCCTCCCCTCCCCTTTCCTCTCCTCCACCATAACCTGGAATCCGTGGCTCCTTAAGCAGTCAGAAAGCACTTTTGAGTCAGGTGCAATCCAGGTGCTTCAAAGCTTGTTCCCCTTTGTCAAAAAGCTGTCCAGAGGACCATGCTTCCTTGGACAACTAAGAGTTTAGATGGTTGACAGCACAATAAGGTCCCTGTTGGATCTGACCAATGGCCCATCCGGTCCAACTTTCATCCCAAAGAACCCTCTGAATGTATCTCAGATAGGGATTAGATAGGCTGCACGATCAATTGCTACTAATAATCAATGCAATGTTCTCTTCCATGACTTGCTTTTTTGTCACATCAATGTTGACAGACATCTCTACAACTTGTGAGAGAGAACTCTTTAGCCTAAGAAGGCCACACAAAGAGGCATCTCCACCACGGGGTCCTATCTACTGATCCATTGGGTTCTAGCATAATCATGGAGGGGATGTTCTGCTTCTTCACTCATTTTAGAGACCTGTCATATCACCTCTTCTCCTAACTCCAGAACCTGGTGGGATCAACCATTATTCTCAAATGTGGTGTGGACAGAAAAAAAAACTCTGCAGTGGAACTCATGACCACAAAATGGGAAGTTAGTCACTAGCTCCGTTGACTTGTGGAATGAAGAAACAGAAAAGGCTGCAGCAATAGCTAGGAGAGACAGACTGCTAATTACACATTGGCCTTGAAAGAACAGCTGCTGAGGAACACTTAAGGGAGGATTGATGGTGGGCTTCGCAGAGATATTTGGGGAGCCCCTGTGGGCTCTCTCCTTCCCCCTGCAAAGTCAGCCCTCCCCTCCACTATGTTATGTGAGACTGGGCAGGGCGTGGGCTGGGCTGCTCCACTTTGCACAACTGCAAACCCAACCAAAAGGCAGGGCAGGAAGGAACCAACCGACCATGACTTTATGGCAGGGGTCTCCAAACTTGGCAACTTTAAGACTTGTGGACTTCAACTGAAAGCTGGAGAATTCTGGGAGTTGAAGTCCACAAGTCTTAAAATTGCCAAGTTTGGAGGCCTCTGCTTTACGGGGTGCTTGGTTCTGCTTCTTCTGTTCCTCAGCTGGAGGGGGAATTGTTAGAGCAAAGGATCTGGGGAAACGTGAGGTACTTGCTGGAGGAGGGGATGAAAAGAATAGCAGTGTGAACACACACACACACACACACACACACACACACACGTTCCTATGTCTCATTGGTTCTCCAAAGGATCCACCCTCGTCAGATGCACCTTGGGGAAGAGAAATAGATTGTAGGGAGAGAAAGTCTGCGGTAGATGTGATAGGCAGGACTCCAATGAGTTAGGAATTCCTCCATCAGATTCCTCTGCTTTCCAGCCAAGGAATGCCAGCCAGATGTCTCCTGGGCTTCTGAGAATCATGTTCCGTGATGGTATGCTACCGATTTGGCCCAGTTGGGTCGAACCGGTAGTACAAAAAAAAAGCTCTGACAATCAGCTGAGAGGAGAAAGGAGAGAAAAGCGCAGGATCGGCCCTCCCACCTGCCCCTGCGCCTTTCTCTTCTTTATCCTCTCAGGTGATCGGCGCTGCAGGCCTCAGCACTTGTGCACGATTACCAAACCGTTAGCGCAACAGGTAGGATCCCACTGCTGGTCATGTTCTCTGCAGGACAGAGCTGCGTGCAGCCACCAACTGGTAAAAGAGCAAGCCAGGAATGGGTGTCAGATCTGTTCCACAATCGCCATGTCCTTCTGCCCTTCAGCATACCAGTGGTGGTATGCTACCGGTTTGGCCTGGTTTGGGCGAACTGGTAGTAAAAGTCACTACCGCTTCAGCCTAACTGGTAATTTAAAAAAAGCCTCCAATTAGCTGAGAGGACAAAAGACCGAAAAGCGCATGGAGGGGTGGGTGGGGGTTTTGCTCCTAGCTTTTTGTTTCTTCATCCTCTCAGCTGGTTGGCTTATTGGGATGCGCATGTTAGGGGTGCGCGCATGCATCCACCAAACTGGTATTGACTAAGGTAGGATCCCACTTGAGAGGTGGGGCATCCAGTGGAAACTGTGCTTGGCTTTCTACTCTGTTTTCCAGGAAACTGTGAGCTCCCGCCAGACAAAGGTCCCTGTGACAATTTAGAACTCCGCTGGTTCCACAACTCAAAGTCCAAGAGATGCGAACGTTTCTTCTATGGAGGCTGCTATGGGAACGCTAACAACTACAAGGATATCAACGAATGTGACCGCTGCTGTGTTTCCCCAGGTGAGGGGAGGGTCTGGTCAGAGGGAGGACCATTGGCTCTAGGCCAGGTGGCCTTTGTCTAGCAAAGCTATCTTGGGAGAAGAAAGAAAAGAAAAGAAAAGAAAAGAAAAGAAAAGAAAAGAAAAGAAA